CATGGATGTGAGAGAGAAACTGTGAGAGAGAAACATCAATTGGTTGCCTCACACACACACCCGACAAGGGATCAAACCCACACCTAAGTAGTGCCTTGATTGAGGGATCAAACCCGCAACCATTTGGTGCATGGGATGATGCTCCAACCAACTGAGCCACTTGGCCAGGGCAGCACACACATTGTTTAGGGTTATGTTCCTAAGGTTCTATGGTCTACAGCTGAATTTGGATACTCAGGGTTTCCTAAGTGTGATAAAAATTTGGAAAACCTTCAAAACTAACATATCTTCAAACAGAATGCTTCTCTGCCTATATTTTGGCTTTCTTGCTTAAACATTTTTTGTATTATGGAAAATTCAACTATATAAAGCAGTAGAGAGAACAGTGCCATGTATCAACAGTCCAGCTTTAACAATGATCAATTCATGGGCAATTTTGTATACCAATTACTTAATATTACATGATCACTGCATTATTTTGAAGTAATCTCAGACATCATATCATTTTTACTCATAATTTATTATGAAAATCTACAGTATAATGTCTTTTTAGAAACATGGCAACCATGTCATTACCACACCTAAAATTAGATAAGTAACCCCTTAAAACAGTAAGTGATTAGTTTTTCTGACTGTCTCAGAAAAATTTTGCAACAGTTGTTTTGTTTGAATGAGTCCAAACAAAGCCTAACATTTAGTTGATATGTTTCTTCAGTTTGTTAAATGTATGGTTTCTCTGTTCTCTAGTCTTCCTTGCAAGCTATTTGCTGAACAAATCGTTGTTTGCCTAGTTCTAAATAGTGGAACTGCCCCTATTCTGGATTTTTTTAGTGGCATCCCTGTGATGTCATTTACTATGAAATTGTACCCAGGGTTCCAGAAAGTAATATTAGCACCAATAATTAACACCTTTTGACTGCTGATTATGTGCGTTTGACTTTAAAGTATTTGATGTGTAAGAAAAAATTTAACCATTCAAAATATCTACTTTTTATGTGGTAAATACAATCATGATATATTTTATGTAATTTAAAAATTATGTTGCCTTTAAGTGGTATGATAGTAAATACTAATAAAGTCATACTTTATGTACAAAATCTACAATAATTCAAATAACTCAAAAATTTTCAAGAATAACATAATTCAAAATAATAAGGACTGATTTCCAACTTTGTTTATAGTAATGTTATATGATGACCCTCCTTTTAATTTCCAGTTGATAAAAATAAATGATTGCTCTTATTTTTAGAGTTAATATTGCTATTCTAAAATAATATGAAATTATAAAAAATGAATTCCTTTAATAAAATGCAACTAACAATAAGTTTGTTTTTCCAAGTACTTCATGGGGAAGGAGTCTGAGTAGGGCAGAATTTGTGTATTTCTGGGACACTGGTCATAATGACATTCAATATAAGCCTTATATTACAGTAACATACACACACACACACACACACACACACACACACACTCCTCCAAAATGCCAAGTTCTTACCTCATGAATCATTGAAATTTAAAACTCTTCTCAGCATTTTTGTGCATTTTCAGGTGACCTATATATTTTTCCTTATCAATATTTTTATTTTATACATTTGGGATCATGATTGCTGATCTTTTGCTCAATGCACTCTATAGTAATTTTAGCAAAATTGAGAAGAAAATACAAATATTTCCCATGTACACCCTGTGCCCTCACAGGCACAACCTCCTCCATTGTTAAAATTTCCCACCAAAATGGTACATCTGTTACAACGGATGAGCCTACATTGACACATCATTATCACCCAGAGTCTATGGTTTACATTAGGGTCCATTCTTGGTGTTGTACATTAGATGGGTTTGGGCAAAGGTATAATGGCATGTGTGCACCATTATGGTATCATACAGAATTGCTTTATGGCCCTAAAAATGCTCTGTGCTCTGTTACTTACACTGTCATGATGTTCTGGTTCTGATTCCCTGCAAGTACCAATTTTAGTGTACATTTTTAATTACTCTCTTACTTCCATCCAGGTAGCTTTTTTTTCTTGAATCTTTCCTACCTCTTCCCAAAAGTAGGCATACATAAAAATATGTTGCATATAACATTCCTCGACTTAAAGTTTATTGGCCATATGGATGGGAGATATCTTTTATTAGAGAGTAAAAGCTAAAGCCACATATTACAACTTTTTGCTCTAGGAGTTCTCTTAGCAAACCCTTCACCAAGAATATGTCACTGACTACTCTACCCTACCTGTTCTCTCAGCCTAACCCAATCTCAAGTTCTCTCATTCTAGAGAGGAAAGGAAACCTTCCAATTATTGTATGAAAAGAAATTTATCCATAGCTTCACGTTTGAATCTCCTAAATCATTAAAGGGCTCAAAACACAAAAGTGCCTTTCATATAATGGGATCCATTGCTTTTAATTAATTATGCTTATAACTAGCAAATTTTTTGTTTTTAATTTTCAATTACAGTTGACAGTCAATATTGTTTTATATTAGTTTCAGGTGTACAGCACGGTGGTTAGGCATTTATGTAAAAGATCATGGAATGCTTCAATAATGTGTGTGTCATGCTTACGCAGGGACCATGCTAATCTCAGTGTTGTTCTGATTTTGGTAAATGTGCTGCTGAAGGGAGCACTAGCAAGGTATTTGTACACCATCTTAAGGCCCTGCCTGCATATCAAGGTTATTCAAATTCTGTCGCCAGCGAATAGTGCCAGGTCACCCAGCATGTTCACTCCTTTGCTCTTAAGATTGACAACACACCTGCAGTAACAGGACAGACATGAGATTCATAGGTCTCAGGGGCTCCTATGTTATCTTCATGCTGTTTCCCAATTGTACTAGCACTTTTCAACCACAGTTGTGTCCACAATCTCTTCCCACTCTCCTTCCTCCTGTCCTGTGTCTCCCGGTCCCAGTTCTAACACATGGGAATCCTTACCTTCCTTCTGGAGTGTGACTCACAAGGGCCCTTGGTGTCTGGAGGCACCACCTGGGGGCAGGCCCTGGATAATGAAGACGGTGCCCGTGACGATGCCCACGAGGCCCACTGCCAGCCCCAGGGCATAGACCACTGTCTCTGTCAGCTCTGACATGGGGGCTGGAATCTCGGGCTCTGTGGGAGTGAGGTGATGGAGGTCAGAATGCGGAATGTTGGCTCACAGCATGTGTACAAGATGGGGTGGGAGGGGTGGTGCTGGTTCTACAAAGACTTGGCTCCAGGTTTAGGGAGAATAATAAAGTTTACCATCAGAAATCCTTGAAGTGTAGAAAATAGGCTTTGGGCCATGATATTCAAGAGCTAAAATGCAGAGTGTCTGACTTGACAGTGAAAAGGCACCAGAAGGCGTGGGGCTCATACCCACCCCAGTGCTTCAGGAGTGGCTGGTCCAGCCCCCAGTGCTCCACCTTGCAGTCATAGACGTCGTCAGCAGAAGGGAGGAAGGTGAGGTAACTGATCTTGAGGAAGGAATGATCCCTCTTGGACAGGAAGCTGGTTTCAGAAACACCCTGTGTGACTGAGTGCCCGTTGGTCAGCCACAAGATGTTGATCACAGGAGGGAAGATGTTGTCCACGGCACAGATGAGGGTGTTGGGCTGGCCCAGCTCCACGGGAGACTTGGGAAACACAGTCACCTCAGGAACCTCTGCGGTGAGGAAGCAGCACTGGGTTTAGAATCGTGGGCAGCTCTGCCCTGAGGGTCCCTGCCTCCTGGAGGGGTCTCCCACCAACGTTTCCCCATTGGAGAGAGGAGATGCTCTTGTTCCCTCTGCTTGTGAGCCCCTATACCAGTAATGTCGAACATTTTGAGCTCGGCATGTCAGCATTTTGAAAAACCCTAACTTAACTCTGGTGCCGTGTCACATATAGAAATTTTTTGATATTTGCAACCATAGTAAAACAAAGATTTATATTTTAGATGTTTATTTTATATATTTAAATGCCATTTAACAAAGAAAAATTCACCAAAAAAATGAGTCGCATGTCACCTCTGACACCCGTGTCATAGGTCACCATCACAGCGCTATACACAGCCTACATGTCATCCCAGGCCTTTCATTCTGTGGCCCTGTTAGGGTAGGGCGTCTAAGGGACCCCTCCTTGAATGAGTCGAGAATTGCATAGGGGAGCTAGAATCTCTGTATCTTATGGAAATATGTGATTTGTAAGAAGGGAGAGAATGAGGGTTCAGCAAATACCATGAGAAGATCTGGGACTCCTTGGAAAGGAGAGCATTTTATAGAGTGAAGGGATCTATCTGAGGCAAGAAGGGAGTGAGGCCTGGTATGAAGGGTAGATTCAGTAAAGACACAGGATGGTGGACACACACTATTGGGAGCAGCGGTAGAGTTGGAGCTTTTAATCAGGATGCCCAGGGTGTAGTTTGCAATAGCCATGTTTCTCAGTGCAACCTGAGGGTCAAAATTTCTAAATTCACTAAACATAGGCAGCTGCCAGACAGTCTCCTTCTTGTCCAGGTCCACGTAGAACTCCTCATCTCCATCAGATTCATGGGTGTACTGGCCCGAGGAACCGTAGTAGGGGTAGACATTTATGCCATAGGCCCTAACGTGGTCAGCTGATGAGTGAGGTGGAAGCAGGGAGGTGCAAAACACAGGAGAGAAAGGATTTCGTTAAACAAAGTGGCAAGAAACGCACATGCAAACATTGTGGACTGTACTTTCAGCACAACCCACAGACAATTCCCAGCGCCTGCTCCCTCCCCTGCCTGTCCTGTTAGAATCCAGCTGCCTCTCCACTCCTGCGGTTGCTCCTGTCACAGGAACAGAATTCCACAGGCCTGTTCACTGCTATTCCTGGCCTGCCTAGCTCAGTGCCTGGCATCTCAGATAAATACTGAAATTGGCAGAACAAGGAATTAATGAATGACCATGGCTTTAGTTTTCTTTCCCAGAGATTCAGTTTCCCTCCCTCTGCTTCATAAGTTTTCTCTCTCAATTTCTTCATCGGTTAATAACACATTCATTGTGGGTCCTCTCCCCTCAGGACTGGCTCAGAATAGAACATGTGCTACACAAGTTTTCCTTCCTCCTTTTATTTTTTTTTAACCAACATAAGCACACCTGATATCATTTTTAAAAAATTGCCTATATTTTAGGGACTAAGAAAGAGTAGGATAAGGGCAGTGACAATATCACAAAACACATAAAAAGTAAAGAATGCTTCTAAGGTCTCTGTTATTTTTTTTGGTTTTTGTTGTTTTGTTAATCCTCACCTGAGGATATTTTTTCCATTGATTTTTTTTTAAGACAGAGTCGGAGGGAGGGAAGTGGGAGAAAGATAGAGAGAGAGAAACCTCTCAGACCAATTGGTTGCCTCTCGCAGGTGGCTCTGGGGATTGAACCTGCAACTCAGGTACCTGCCCTTGACCAAGAATCAAACTGATGACCTTTCCATGGGCATGTCAACACTCTAACCACTGAGCAACAAGCCAGGGCTAAGGTCTCTGCTTTGTAACAGGGTGGTCCTTAGAGGAGAGCACCTGGTTTCCTCTGAAATGAAACTGAAACCTTCATTAGACTTTGGATTTTGTCATTTCCCACCGTCTTCTTTTCTTGAAGGACGTTACTAAGCCTCTCCTTTTTCTGACTCAACACTTACCTTGTGGAGGACTCAGGGAAAACTCCGGCCCTTCCCTCGAATGGACAGTGGACTTGTCTGTGACGCCAAAGCAGAAGGCAATCAACACAGCTAACTGCCCAGATGAGCGTAACTGGACGTGTCTGAGCCTTTTACCACTTCTTCTTCCCTCCCTTCCTATTTCCTGAGTATCAACAAGGTTTCAGACATTGTGAGTGGCAAGGAGTAAAATCCTGCCAGGGAGGAGCTTAATGAATAGGGAAATCCAGTGTGTAAGGAGCCAATAGGTGTTTTGTGCTGGGTCCTCCAGAAATACCTCACCTGCCCATCAAACCAGATGTCACCCTTTCATGCTCCTTGGTCTTTACAAGGGTCTGTTTTCCTTCATCAAATTATCTTCTAGGATTTCCTGGACACCTCCAGTTCATTCTTGAAGTTTCTGCTTAGTTACCAACTTCTTAGCTAAGTCCCCTCCTTAAGCATAGTTTTGACCACATTATGATCTCCAGTCCCTCCATGCAAATGTCTGCTTTGCAAGTTTATCTATTCCTCATCCCCACCCAGCATGACCCCCTTGGCTGGCCACTCAAAACCTCCTTGTCCTTGTAATGAACCTTCTTGATTCCATTTCCAACATGAATATATGTGATTATCCTTTTCATCTGCACGGGTCCTGGCTGCACGCTGCTGCTGACAGACCTCACTGCGCCAGCTGGAACTACTCACTCTCAGTTACAGCCTCGCTGGGCCCACTGTCCTGCACTGCAGTGGCCCTGCACTGGGCACCATGTTGTCCCCATCGCTAATCTGAGCTCCCTCCAGTGGCAGATGGCACATCTCTTCATCTGAGTCCCAGCACTGAGCTCCTGGTGCTCAAACTGTGTAGCAAATGTCAACACTGTTCTCCAGGATGTCAGAGATTTGGGGAAGACTGACAGACACAAAGGTAGCAGCATCCTATGAGTGTTAGACTCATTGGTGATGGCTGCATTATGACTCCTGAGCCCTAAGCACTGTTGTTAGGTGGGGCCTTTATTTTTCCATAAAAATATTAAAAAATCATATTTTATGACCCTGTTGCTACAAAGGCAAATATAATCCAGGCTAAATTAAAATAGTTTCTTCTACCCTAAAAGTTCATTTTTTCTTCTAATTTTAAAAGAGAGTAAAACATTTTCATGGGGCCCTACAGTCATTGCAGGCCTTGACCCTGTGCCCACTGTGGGGGGTACATCGAGCCGGACCAGGGCACTCTGCAGTGACATTGAGAAAAGGGAACTTGGACGTGCTCTGGAGAAGCAGGCAAAACTTTCCTGCCAAACCAAGAAAGCCTGGGGAAGCCATGGTTAATAAAGTCGCTGAAGATCAGGGTAACCTCCAGTTCACTTCCCCTTTGAACTACAGTGCTTG